GCTGCATGCATGAATGGACATGGGCAGATGCAAGAGTAGCAATGATGTCTAGTGTGTAAACAGCAGCGCAGTCCTCAACCACGTGGGAAGGTCAATGACCAGGCAGCCCCCGTTTGCCTGCTGTTTAGTCAGCTGTCCAGGTGGCACCAGCTAAGGATGAGCAGCTTTAAGGTCACACCCCGATCTCCTTCCATACAGTCCATACCTGGGGTTGTAATGTTGCAAAGGGCGTCCAGAGTCATCTAGCCCAACCACCTACTGATGCAAGAAATCCACCGACAAAAACACCTTGAATAGATTACCCTCCAGCCTTTGTTTTTAAAAAACTCTCGGCTCAATGGAAGCCCATCCTCTTTCACAACAGCTTGTTTCCCTATCGGACGGCGTTTCGCAGCAGGGAATGATCTAGATGGGCGGCATATAAATGCAATAAATAAATAAATAAAATAAAATCTCTAAATCGGACTCAGACAAGACAGCCTACAAAATGGAGGAAAATAAAATCTCTAAATCGGACTCAGACCAGACAGCCTACAAAATGGAGGACACCTTTAGAAGAAGGGATGGTCCCTCGTCTATGAGAGACCTCAAATGGAGGACTGTCTTCTCGAAAAAGGATGGGGAGGGGGGCCCAACATTTGGAAGCTGTGCTCTAGAAGCGGTCCTCGGCCGCCATCTGGTGGTTGAATGAGGTGGCTTGGAGACACACAGAACCTTATTTTGTCCGAGCAAAGCCTTCCTGGAACCGAAGGCATTGAGGCCTGTTTGTCCTTCACACCAAATTAGCACCAATTCCCTGGCTTAGGATGGGGAGAGTCACAGCTCTCGGTGAGCCTGAGGGTGAAGCTTAATGCCAAAGGAACCTCTCTTGGACCTGCCCTGCTCACTGAGGGACGTTCCAGGAGAATCCTGCGGGGCAAAAGCTTGGAAGGAGGGACCGGTTCGCTGTGCGAGTGCAGAAACCTGGAACAGAACATCTTGTGGCTGAGCCAAAGAGCAGCCGTTGGGCTTAACCACGGCTTGGACGCGAAGGGTTAAAAATAACGCCGTTCTATTTCAATTTTTGTGGCTCAAGGATTACAGCTTGCAAAGTTACTGGCCTTTATCTTCCCTCTACGAGATTATCCGGGGGTTTTTTTAATTGTTTCACTTGAGAACATGGATTCCGAGTGTTTTAAACAACAACCTTGTGAGGTAGCTCAGCCTGAGTATCGACCATTGTGGTTTTTTTTCCCCCTTGGCTAGGCAAAGACCTTGCAGGGTCTGAAATCCGAGTCGCCTTGATCGGCTAGCTACGAATGGCTGGAAATTGGCCGAAAATGTAATGATTTCCTCCCCTTCCACACAGAAAGGACCGTAGAAACTGGCATAATCGTCCACCCAAGCCCAGGATTTTAAGAGGAGAACTTTCCGAAATCAGGTTTCTCCTCAACCATGTCATTTCAGAGTTAGAGCTGCCACCTTTTTCCCCACCGAGGGTTCCTCACCTTTGACATCTCTACAGCAGGCAGAAACAATACAACTCGCTATGCGCTGACAACAGCCACAGCTGAAGGATGATGGGAGTTGAAGTCAGGCAGCATTATAATGCACTCCTACCTATCCTTATTTAGGTGCAAGCCCCACTAAGTTCTGCAGGACTTCCAAAAAAAAAGCAAGCCATTTTGCCAAGTCTGAGCCATTTTGCAAAATGCATAAATGAGGTTGAAAGAGAGAAAGATTCGGGTACAAATTTGCTCATCCTACATGAACATCCCAAGCAAGCTGGCTGAGGATGATGATCCCAAGAGAGGCCCAGAGGGAGAAAATGAGAAATTGGGCCTTCTTGGTGGTTGCGCCTGCAGTTCGTCTGACCCTTTCGCTGGTGATTTTTTAAAAAGTCACCAAAAAACGCTGTTGTTCGAGCAGATGCTTCAAAATATTACACCTGCAGAGTTGGCTGAATTCATCTAGCCTTAATATGACCCATTCCGCCATATTAATTGTTTTCTTATGTAAAAGTATGTTAATGCTTGCTGAAAATACCGTTTATTTTCATTATCTGTCCTACTGAATTGGCATTTTAATTATGCTGCTGCACGTCTTGATTGTAAACTGCCCAGAGTGGCCCTCGGCCAGATGGGCAGGATGAAAAAAGGAAATTAAAAGAAAGGAATAAATACCATATTTTTCCGTGTGTAAGACGCCCCCCCCCCCACTTTACTAATCCAAAATTAAGAAATCTAAGTAGGGCTTAGCAAGTGTAAGGGGAAAGGGATCAAAGCGCTGCAGGATCGCTTTGATCCCTGCTTCCCCCTCCACTTGTTTTTGTTCTCTCCTCAGCTTACTTCCGTGTATAAGACGACCCTCAATTTTTAGTCCAAAGGTTTTAGGCAAAAGTATAGTCTTATACACGGAAAAATATGGTAAGCTGTCACATTTCGGAAACAAGATGGAGCCTTTTTCTCTACAGCTCTCGTCCTGCCGGCATCAAGTGCCGCCGTTTCCTGCGTCTCTCACATTAAATTCAGACCCCAAGTGATCTTATTTGATGAGGGAAAAGGGAAGCAATTACGTTCCCGTAGGCCAGAGCCTAATGGGCTGACGCCTTTCCCTTTTGCTTTTAATGTCAATAAAATTTGCCAAGATCAGCTTGAGCGATGAAATCATGTTCTGGGTGAGAAGCTGACGACTTAAATTAGTTAAGAAAAGGGAAAGCATTATTACTAATGAATAGGGACAGAGGAAACCTCCGGCATGCCGACAGCCTTGTTCTGTGTGTGTGTGTGAGATGTACAATCGCACATGCGTGTGAAGGCCACCAGCAGGGGATTTTGGTGATAACGGCCGAAGCTGGAACATGGTCTCTTTGCCCTGCCATTTAACGACTAAATAGACAAGAACCGGGGAACCACAAGATAACCAAGAAACAGAAGACGGCTGTGTTACTCGAGTCTCAGAACAGACCCCCTTGAAAGGTCTCCGACTCTGTCAATGCTCAGGCGAGTCCCATTGATTTCAACGGATCTGCTCTAATGATGAATACAGTGGATTTAGCTCGCTGGGTTGGGAAAGCCCCCTGCAGCTGTGGTTTTTCAGGAGTTCCTATCTGGAGGGGATGGTTCGCGTGAGGGCCAAAGTAGACATTATAGCTTGCCTGTCATTAGAAGGAGGAAGTCCTTCTGAGCTGGAAACATCTGATTGCCACATTTTTTTATCCCTTCCAGCCGGTGATTGCTTTGTGTTTGTCCGTCTAGAAGCAATCCCAAGCCTTGGTTACAAGTGAAATGACTCTGTCCCAAACGTCCTCCTGAACCCACATAGCTACCACACTCGCAGGTCTCAACTTCTAAATGACATGCTTCGTGGAATATGTAGTATTGCTGGGACCTTCCTTCTCCATTGTGAAGTTGTTTTGTCAAGTGTAACTTCAGGTTTTTTTGGGGGGTATTTTTCTTCAACATGTGCAAGATTAATCATTATTTCTTAGGTACATAAATGCAGGGTTGGGGCAGTCGTGCCCCGCTGGACGATTATCCCGTTTAACAACGAATCCGCTTAACGTAGATTGGGTTTTTTTTTTTGCTTCATGTTGATCGGTTCCCTGTTTTGGGAACCGATTTTTTGCTTTACGACGATCAGCAAACAGCTGATCGTCGGGTTTCAAAATGGCCCCCCCCTTCTGTTTTCTAAGACGGATTCCTCGCTATACAGGCACCGAAAATGGCCGCCGTATGGAGGATCTTCACTGGACGAGCAGGTATTCAGCCCATTGGAACGCATTGAATCGTTGGACGTTTTCGCTCTACAGCGATTTCGCTGTAACGAATTAACGTCGTCAAGCGAGGCACCACTGCATAGTAACAGCTCTCACTGTTACTCTTTCCTGTCACACCAGAAGATGTGGTGGCCACATGTACTGGTAACCTATCATGCAGGCAAACTTAACACCTTCAAGTTCATATTCCCCCTCTCATCTTTCTAGCCCTGCCCAACCTGGCCTGCGCCAGAAATACTGGACTACAGCTTCCATCACCCCCAGAGGCACAGACCTAAGCCACAGGCTCACTGAGGATGATGGGAGTTGAAATGGTACCCTTTTGGAGAGCTTCAAGCAAATTTAGCGTAACGAATACAACGCTGACTTAAACTATTATCTTTTTTTTTTGTTCTAAAAAATAAATATTAACGAAACAGAAGTTCAGAGGAAGTGTTTATACAGCTTGTAAAGCTAGCTTTCGAATGATTTAAAAAAAAAAAAAACCTCTATCCTCTTGCCGGACTTCACCATTTTAGCAAAGCAGGTTTACACTCTAATTAAATGTTTCTGATCTATACTTCCAATCGATTCAGGATGTCATTGTTGCCTGACAGGCTACAGGCAGAAATCAGATGGATGCTTTTAAATGAATAGGAACTTTAACGTGAACACAATAATTGCTTCTTTTTTTAAAATGTGAACTTTTCTAATGGATAGTATTCCTTTCAAATAGGTTACTTAGTTTAGCCACATCTTTGCTGTACAAAGCCATTATCACTCCCATGTGGGTGGAAGACTGAGGGGCTTAGACACAGATTCCTCACAGTGGATGATTCCGCGCCCTCCCATAATGTAGATTCTAGAAAGCAAATTACAATTCTGCTTCTACCTTTCACCAGAGAAGCAGCTAGCAATCAGAAAAGATGTGAAGCCAATTCATCTTTGTCTTAATTTCATCCAGTCGAGAATTTTCCTCTCCCTTGTGCCGAATCTCACCTCCGGTGCAACGAGACATTATAGAATCCTGGAATCATGGAGTGGGAAGGGGCCTCTTAAGGCCATCCAGTCCAACCCCCCTGCTCAAGGCAGGATCCCCAATCAAAGCAGATCTGACAAGAAGATGGTCCAGTTTTCCCTTGAATGCTTCAAGCGATGAAATTCTCAACCCCTCACAAAGTCATTGGTTCCATTGTCATACTGCTCTAACAATTAAGGTGTTTTTCCTGATATTCAGCCAAAATCTGGCTTTCTGTATTTTCAGCCCAAGTCTTCAAGTGTGGTGTCCAGAGCTGGACACAGGACTCTAAATGAGGCCAAAGGAGTGCTGAATAGAGGGAGACTGGTACCTCATGGGATTTGGAGACTATACATCTGTTAATGCAGCCTAAAATCACATTGGCCTTTTTTGCTGCTGCATCACACTCCTGGCTCATCTCCAGGTTTCGATCTACAACAATCCCAAGATCCTTCTCATTCGTTGTGTAACTGAGCTGTGTATTCCCCATCTCGTAACTGTGCGTGCACATTTTGTGCTCTCCCCATTTTGTGCAAAAAACATCTCCAAAGCATGACCAGTACCTTTTTCCATTTGGGAAGCACCAAACAACAGGCTGGATGACTGCCAGGACACATCGGAGCTACTTCCACTTGCCCACGCAATGAGGAAATGGTTACAGCTCTTTTAAATTTTATCCATTTATGGAAACAAACGAAAAGTCAGCCTCAAAAATTCGCCAACCAGAGACTCCTGGCTGTTCCACAGATAAAGAGTTCATTCAAAATCAACCGTAGTCCTTGAGGGCTCTCTCTGGTGTCTCCGGGTACAGCACCGCAGCTCCAGTCTGCCAGGAGTCCCTCATGAAGGTCCGTGCCGCAAGACTTTGAAGCCACCAGCAGGAGAGGAGCCACCACGGAGAAGGCCCAGCATGTGACAGGGGAACCACCACCTAAAGGAGGTGGGACAAGAGGCAGGGAGGGAGAGACACGGTCCCAGGTATCGCCCGACACGTCGCTCCCCAATGTTCAGCAGAGCAGCTTAAGGAGATGCTCGTAACTCAAGAAGGTGACAGCATTGACGGGGAAAGCCCGGAGAGCATTCAGAGAGAGACCTTTGAAGAAAACCTGCCAGCCTTCCTGACGGGCACTGGCCAGGATGCAGTCCAAGATCCCGCGATACTCTGCCTGCTTCACCCCGTCCATTTGCAGGCGGGCCTTCACCACGTCCATCGGGGTGGCCAAAACCCATGACACCGTCCCAGCAAAACCACCGGCCACCAGAATGGTCACTGGACCTGGAGGGTTTTATTTGGGAGGAAGGGAGGAGACAGGAACACAGGGTGAAGAAGAACCACAGGGGAATGCAAAACCCTAAAAGCAATGTACTCCAGATGCGCTGGACTATAACTCTCATCATCCCCGTCCTTATGGGTCTTCCCAAAAGACACCCTCAGGGAGCTCCTTTGGACCGCGTTCATTTTCATTTCTCCCCCAAAAGAGCCACCGACTGGAAACAATTCTTCACACACCACCTTACAAGTTTCATTCATTCAATCCTAGCCCAGCCTATATTTCGGCTGTGGCCACAAAACAAGGCCGAGAATGGCTTCTCGAGAGCCTATCAAGGCTACAGGGCAGGGACCTAAGCTTCGCCTCCTGGAAGAGGGAGTCTCGCTGCCTCTCGTCTCTGACAAATGCGCCTCTGAATGTGCCCAGACGTTTCTTTTTCCACAACCGGGACACATGTTGTGGAGGGCTGATTGGAACTAGACCTCTGAACCCAATAAACGTATTTCTTGTTAGCTTTGGATTAATTTCTTTCCACCCCCACTTCCTTGCTTTCAGGTAACGTCGCTTAGAAAATGTTAGGACTGTTTAAGCTTCTCTGAATTACTCAAGCCCCTTCGCCACAATAAGGCAGCAATCCATGAAGGAGTTTGAGGACTGTAGGATTATGATTCACCGTATTTTTCTGTGTATAAGACGCCCTCATGTATAAGACACCCCCCTACTTTCCTAACCCAAAATTAAGAAATCTAAGTGGGGCTTAGCAAGTGGAGGGGAAAGCAGGGATCAAAGCACTGCAGGATCACTTTGATCCCTGCTTTCCCCTTCACTTATTTTTGTTCTCTCCTCAGCTTCCGTGTAGAAGACGACCCTCAATTTTAAGTCTAGAGATTTTAGACAAAAATATAGTCTTATACATGGAAAAATATGGTATATGTGTGTATATTTGTGTATATTTTCAAGACAATTTTATATACCGTATTTTTCCATAAGACTATACTTTTGTCTAAAATCTTTAGACTAAAAATTGAGGGTTGTCTTATACACGGAAGTAAGCTGAGGAGAGAACAAAAACAAGTGGAGGGGAAAGCAGGGATCAAAGCGATCCTGCAGCGCTTTGATCCCTTTCTCCCTACACTTGCTAAGTCCCACTTAGATTTCTTAATTTTGGATTAGAAAAGTGGGGGGCATCTTATACATGGGGGCGCCTAATACAGGTGTCTTATTTACCAACCTGTGCAGCGTCTTATACATGGAAAAATACGGGTATCTTATTTACCAGCCTGTGCAACCCCTTCCTGAAAAAGACAGGGCACTTCTTTTCTGTGTCAGCAAATAAATAGTTTTGGAGACTGGAATGCCCCTCTGCAGATGATGAAGTGAATTCTTGCCTTTCTGATCTGGGCACTTTCCCGAGGTCTTGGACTACAACTCCCATGATCTTTAGCCACCATGAGGCAGGTAGCTGCAAGTTAGTACATTTCACCCGCTCCTGCAGCCCGTAATGGGATGGCTCCCTTCTCCACAAAAGAGTTAAAACAGGAAGGAGTCAGCCTCAGTCTTTCCAACAGCTTTGGATAACATCTCCCATCATCCCCAGCCATTGCTCCAGCAACCCTGGGCTGATTGGGGTTGTAGTCGAAATAATCTGGAAAGCCCCGGGACGCCTACCGCTGTGCCAAGCCCTGCCAGCTTCAAGGGGGACATTTTCCGACACCACCTCGGACTCGCTGCGGGCTGCACCCGGCCTGCCCAGTTACGTCAAACCCCTGGTTTTTTTTAAAAGTGGTTTTCCAACTAGAACAAGGCACGAGGGGGTAAGGCAGGTCACGATGGCAAATTCTGAATGGACAGAGTGCTAAAAGAATTTTGATTTGATGGTCCGAGATTGTTTGGTTTCATTCTGGAATGAAATCTAAATGGGATAAATGCCGGCTGTGATGAACACAGGCTTCTGATTTTTTTTTCCCCCTAGAGGTCTATGAAGTACTTGTCGGGCTCTCAGGATTCAAAGTGTTGGTTTTAACTTATAAATGAGGTCTATGAAGTACTTGTCGGGCTCTCAAGATTCAAAGTGCTGGTTTTAACTTATAAATGCCTAAATAGCTTGGGTCCAAGCTATCTAATAGCCAGCATCTCCCTCCATAAACCTGTCTGGGAATTAAGATCATCAGGAGAGGCCTTTCTCCCAGTGCACCATTTTCACAGATCTGTAGGCCTTTCTCTCAGTCCACCACTTTCACAGATGTGTATGTTGGGGACACAGGACAGGACCTTCTCTGTCGCTGCTCCCAGAGACTCTGGAACTCTCTCCCACCGGATGCCAAGCTGGCCCCATCTTTGCTATCCTTCCGCAAGCAGGCAAAGACCTTCATCTTCAGGCAGACTTTTCCTTAGTGACTGGTGGCCAGAGAGGGTTTATTAAAAATGGACTCCTGTGCTTTGTTGCTTTTAAATGTGTTTTCAGTATTTTATTTTATTGGCTATTTCAAATACAGTGGTGCCCCGCACAGCGAGGTTAATCCGTTCCGGATTAACCGTCGCTATGGGGAAACATCGCTGTACGGAACGGAAAACGCCACAGAAACGCATTAAACTTAGTTTAATGTGTTCCTATGGCTCTTAAACTCACCACTCTGCGAAGTTTCGCCATAGCGCCGCCATTTTTGCGCCCTCGGTAAGCGAGGGCAGGGCGCAAAAATGGTGCGGGCAGCCATTTTCTGCACCCAGCGGCCATTTTGGAACCGCCGATCAGCTGTTCCCAAAATGGCCGCCAGGTGCAGAAATGATCGCAATGCGATGTTTAGCCTATCTAAACATCGCAATGCGATTGCATTAGCGACCGCAAAAAACGGGTTGCTATGCGGATTCGTCGTTAAACTGTGCGCTCGTTAAGCGAGGCACCACTGTATAATCCTGTTTAATTCCTTTTTAAAATATTGGTATACTCCCAGTTTTTAGCTTTTAAACATTTGTCTTTTCCTCATTGTAAGCCACCTGAGTTCCTTTCCAGGAGAAAGGCAGGGTAAAAATATTTTAAATAGGCTGGGAGGATGATGAGGGACTCGACACCCTGACCTAACAGGAGCCCATTCTTTTCAAGAAAACATACCTCTCATGAGGCCATTTTCTCCTAATATTGGTGAACGCACTAGGCTGCCAGAAACCCGCCCGGGAGTGACGCGTGGCAGGTAGGTCCGCATGATTTTCACCCCGATGTAGCATCCGAACCCCACCCGGCTGGCCTCTTTTCTCATCCTGACCTTGAAGGCAGTGGTCCCCAACCTTGGGGCCTTCAGATGTTGTTGGACTTCAATTCCCAGAAATCCTGGCCAGCAGAGGTGGTGGTGAAAAGGCTTCTGGGAGTTGTAGTCCAAGGACATATGGAGGCCCTAAGGTTGGGGACCACTGTTATAAGGGACTTTGAAGGTTACAGGATTTGCTTCTATGAGAAAAAGTCAGATTCCACCCCCGGAAAGAGCAGAGATGCCACGTTGCCAACGCAACGGCCCTGATCCCATCCCAGAGTCTCACCTGGATCCTGCCTTTCCTCCGTCATCCCCCTGCAGAGCCCCGTGTACGTCAGGAAGTAGACGGCCACGGTGGGTGAATCCCGGAACGCCAATGCCCGGCCACCGCGGAACATGCCCGCCACGCCTTCCTCCCGGAAGATGCTGACCGCACAGTGGACGGGGCCCCTGTATCGTGACTGGCACGCCCCGGTCAGGGCCCTGCGGCGGCTGTAGAGGTGGGTCTGATTCTGCAGCCGGACTTTGATGAGATCCACCGGGGCCAGGATCATGGCCTGCATCAAGACACGGGGAGAGGAAGCCAAAGGACATTATTTCCCCGAAAGGTTCTTCTTGGGATTCATGACTGCAGCCACTGAAGGGGAAGGTTTTCCCTGGCATTCACATGAGAGAAGCTGGAAATGGGACCCAACCAAATTCTAGGCCTCTAAAAAAACGTGTCTTTTATTATTTTTTATACCCCTGGGATTTCTCTAAAAGCTGATCATAGCCAATGTGGTCTTCTCCCCACCACCAGGCAATCTGAATCTTCATTATCTGGTCCAAGATTCTGCTCTTTCACTGCAATGCTCTCAAAAGGTTCCAGTCCCCCAACCCGCTCCCGTGGATAGCTGAAACACGTGGAAATACGGAATGCTATACATTGCATGGTCTCTGGCTCCCTCTAGTGGCCACTTCTGGTAAATACACCTTGGCTATACACCCTATCCACAGGATCAGTATCCGCGGATTCGCTTATCTGCTGGCTGAAAATACAAAATGAAATACCTAGAAATTCATATATATGTGTGTGAATTTCTAGGTACCGTATTTTTCCATGTATAAGACGCCCCCATGTATAAAATGCCTCCCACTTTTCTAACCCAAAATTAAGAAATCTAAGTGGGGCTTAGCAAGTGTAGGGCGAAAGGGATCGAAGCGCTGCAGGATCACTTTGATCCCTGCTTTCCCCTCCACTTTTTTTTGTTCTCTCCTCAGCTTACTTCCGTGTATAAGACGACCCTCAATTTTTAGTCTAAAGATTTCAGACAAAAGTATAGTCTTATACATGGAAAAATATGGTATTTTATTTTATATTTTCAGCCAGTGGGTAAGTGAATTAGCGGATACTGATCCTGTAGATAGGGAGGCCCTACATAGTGTGTTCACCAGTGGCTCATGAACTGAGAAAGAGAGAACACTTAAACCGCAATTTTGGATGAGGTGCCCACCCCCACCCTGTTCTGGGCTTCAAAGAGCTCTGGCTTTTTAATTTGGTTTACAGAACAAGCCTGGGAAGCAGATGAGCCATGGAAGGAGGGTTTCTGGCCCAAGATCATCCGATTTCATGCCTCAGGGAGGACTTCGGCCGAGATCTCTTCAAAACCAGTCCAAGAAACTAGCTCCTAGGCCACACTGCGCCGGCTGGGCACCCAAGCTGGCTCTTACTTGCACCATTCCTGAGACGCAGCCCGCCGTGAAGATGTGGGCGTATCTGGGAGGGTTGACGCTGTGGTCGCGGTGGTGGGTGTCGCACAGGTACTGGAGAACATTGCTGTATGTCCCAAACATGACGGAATTCACCACCGCCACGCTGAGCAGCGGGAAACTCATGCCTTTGAAGAAGCCACGGACCTGCACAGAAGCAGAAAAGTGAGGTGGAGGGCCCCCAGAGCCTAGCTCTGGCAAAGGTTTGGGGTACCAGACGGCATCTACAGTGGTGCCTCGCTTTACGATTGCCCCACATTACAACAAATCCACTTAACGATGATCTGAATGGGGGGATTTCGCTTTGCGATGATCGGTTCCCTGCTTTGGGAACCGATTCTTCGCAAAACTATGTTTTTTGAACAGCTGATCTGCGGTTTCAAAATGGCCACTGCATGATTAAAATGGCTCCCCGTTGTATTTAGGGACGGATTCCTCGCTATTCAGGCAGCAAAAATGGCCACCGTATGGAGGATCTTCGCTGGACGGTGAGTTTTTACCCCTTTGGAATGCATTGAACGCAAAAAGTTCATCATAGTGCAATTTCGTCGTTAAACGAAGCAATCGTAATGCGAGGCACCACTTTATTTGAAAAGTGCTATCCTATTCTCTCCATCCACCCACCCAGTGTTGTTTTCTCAAGGCTAAACATGCCCAATTCTTTCTGTCTTTCCTCCTTGGGCTTGGTTTCCAGTCCCCTCATCATCCTGGCTGCCCTCCTCTGAATCTGCTCCCAGTTTGTTGACATCCTTCTTCAAGAGTGGAGTGACACAGTACCCTGTCTAGACGAGATCTGATCAATGCTGAACAGAGGGGAATAAGTACTAGTATCTTCTCTTCTCTAGAATAAAAATACCACCTCCTTCAATAGTCTGTGGAAGATTTGGGTTTCAGACCCCTCACCATTCCTCTGCTGGACACACTTCAGTCAGTCAACATCCTTTTTCAACTCTGGCTCCCAAGGACTGCCTTCCCTCTTACTTGAGACAATCACCTACCATTCCGATTCCCGGATGACCTCACGAGGAGGAAGTGATCTAACACAGAAAGAACAACTTTTGTCTACCCCATAGATAATTTCAAACATGATTGGAAGGGTGTTACTCAGAGCTGGAAAGTTATTTTCTAAAAGCAACGCATTAGGCATGGCTCACTATTTATTACTCTTCCTAACTATAATAATTGCATGCAGTCAAGTGATAAATAATAGGTAAAGGTAAAGGTTCCCCTTGACGTTTAGTCCAGTTGTGTCCGACTCTAGGGCGCGGTGCTCATCCCTGTTTCCAAGCCATAGAGCCAGCGTTTTATCCCTAGAGCGTTTCCGTGGTCATGTGGCCAGCGTGGCTAGACGTGGAACGCCGTTATAAATAATACACAATTCCTAACTCTAGGAGTTATGCATTAATGATGGCTTGCTACCGCCTTATTTCAAACCCTCTCTAAACATTACAGCAGAACTGATTGGTCTCAAGGTAGTAATTTAAGACAAAAATGTCAGATCCATGATTTCAATGGTGAGGCGGGGCCAGCTCTGTCAATAGGCAGAGTGAGGCAACTATTGTGGTGCCCCGCATAGTGACGTTAATCCGTTCCGGATTAATCGTCGCTGTGAGGAAACATCGCTAAACAGAACGGAAAAAGCCATAGGGGGCCCAAACTCACCGTTCAGCAATGTTCCTCCATAGCGCCGCCATTTTTGCGCCCTCGGTGAGGGCAGGGTGCGAAAATGGTTGCGGTGGCACTCGGTGACCATTTTGGAACCGCCGATCAGCTGTTCAAAAAACATCACAATGCGAAGATCGGTAAGCGAAACGCTTACGAATCATCGCAATGTGATGTTTTACCCATTAAAACATCGCAATGTAATCGCATTAGTGATCTAAGAAAACAGATCGCTATGCGGATTCGTCATTAAACGGTGCACTCGTTATGCGAGGCACCACTGTATCTCAGGTAGCAGATGTCATGAGTATAGACACACAAACGCATGCTCGCACACACACAAATGGCAGTACACCAGATGTTTCTCCTGCCCCTCTTCACTATTCCCCTCTATCACACTGCATCCTTTAAACTACCTGCTTTCCTCAGATGATGTAAGGGAAGTCAAAGTCTTAGCCCGTTTCGGTCCCCCTCTAAGCAGCACTAAGGCATCACCTAGAGTCCTGTGTCTAGTTCTGGACACCCCACTTCAAGAAGGATGCTGACACACTGGAGCAAGTTCAAAGGAGGGGGACAAGGACGATCAAGGGGCTGGAAACCAAGTCCTAGGAGGAAAGACGGAAAGAATGGGGCATGTTTTAGCCTTGAGAAAATAAGATTGGGGTGTGGGCGGGAGACAGGGTAGCACTTTTCAAATCCTTAAGACATAGTCAGACAGAGGAGGATTATCTGCGGACAAAGCCCTAGCTCCATGGGTTGGAAACGGAGATGAGCATCGCCGCCTAGAGTCGGACACGACTGGACAAATTGTCAAGGGGAACCTTTACCTTTACCTAGATTTAGGCTGAATATCAGGAAAATCCTCTTAACTGTTAGAGAAGCACAACAGTGGAACCCATGACATCAGGAGGTGTTGAGCGCTCCAACATTGGAGGCATTCAAGAGAACATTTGGGACAAACACTCTGCCAGATCTGCTATGATTTGGATTCCTGCCGTGAGCAGGGGGTTGGACTTGATGGCCTTCTAGGTCCCTTCCAACCCAATTATTCTATTATTCTATGAGGGATGAGGTAAAACTCATCCACTAGCCTTAGGGTGTGATTAGCCAGCGAGGGAAATGTGAATTCACTCGTATCCACTAGCTGTGAAGCTGCACCGGCAAATTCAGGTCTGTTCAGTGTAAGCCGCCACACAGGCAGAAAGGAGAAAAGCTTTTTTATATCCCTCATTTGCAGTTTTGCTAAAGTGCCGGTAGAAGGCACGATTGGACGGAACTGCCTTAAGCTGCAAAAAGGCTGTCCTCTCCTGTCATTTCCTCCTCTGATCAGCGCATGTGCGTGTGTGTGTGTGTTATTAGATGCTCCAGCGCATCAAAATAAGAGTCTTGCCAACTTTGCAAGCTGTTTCGGCACTTTAAAACGATAAAAGGCTACGCTCACCCTGAGCTGGAAAAAAAAGGATTGCCAAAACATTTGAGAAGCATTGCTTCTCCCTTAGCTGTTAAAAAAAAAGAAGCCGCCTTTTCTGAAGGGCTTTGCTTGCCATTCCTGTGCGCTGATGCGGTAGCTTTTCTGCACCAGCTCAATCCATCACACATCCAAACGAATACAAATTGATCACTTGTTTGACAAGGGCAAGACTAGAGATTGGGGGTGGGGGGATCAAGGACTTGGGACTGACTCGGACGTCCCTTTGCATCATGTAATTGATGGGGAAAAATGCAAACCAGCCCAGCATAATCCACAGCATTTCCCGCATTTGATTTCCAATTTAGTCACACTTAGAGATTGGCATGAAGTACTTACTTCACGCTCCTTCGCCATAAGTCATCGTCCCTTTCCTCTCCCTCTCTCCCGCGGGCTCACGCACTCATGGACCTACCGGTGCATGCTGCCCTGTTCCTTCCTGTTGCGTGATCTTTCGGTCTGGGCAGGAGCCTGGACTTCCCTTCTCCGCCTCCTCCAGCAGCTGGCCACTCAGAGGAGGAGGCGGGGCAGGGCAGGGATTCCAGCTGCTCCGCTTTTCAGTGGCCAGCTGCTGGAGGAGGCAGGGCAGGGCAGAGATTCCGGCTGCTCTGCTTTTCAGTGGCCAGCTGCTGGAGGAGGCAGGGCAGGGCAGAGATTCCGGCTGCTCTGCTTTTCAGTGGCCAGCTGCTGGAGGAGGCAGGGCAGGGCAGGGATTCCGGCTGCTCTGCTTTTCAGTGGCCAGCTGCTGGAGGAGGCAGGGCAGGGCAGGGATTCCGGCTGCTCTGCTTTTCAGTGGCCAGCTGCTGGAGGAGGCAGGGCAGGGCAGGGATTCCGGCTGCTCTGCTTTTCAGTGGCCAGCTGCTGGAGGAGGCAGGGCAGGGCAGGGATTCCGGCTGCTCTGCTTTTCAGTGGCCAGCTGCTGGAGGAGGCAGGGCAGGGCAGAGATTCCGGCTGCTCTGCTTTTCAGTGGCCAGCTGCTGGAGGAGGCAGAGAAATCTGAGTTCCTACCCAGACTGGAAGATCATGTGACGGGGAGTGCACGTCAGCAGGTTCGTGGGTGACCTGGTGGAAGGGAGGCGGAAGGGAAGTGTGGCAGCTGTGCTACCGCGCAGATGATTTATGACAACGGGGCACGAAGCACTTTGTGTTCATCTCCAGTCACACTTTGTACGCTGAACAGGGCGATGAGGGACCACCTCCTCCTTCTCCTCCTCAGGCAACAACTCATACTGGCCCTGCCCTGAGCATGGACTCCCCAAAGGTGAGCCTCAAGGCCAAAGCCTACAAGCAAGCAATGCAGAAACATACACACCGTTTCGTCTCGGTATGTCGTGATGACACAGTCCAGGATATTTCGATAGCCTGCCTGCGTCTGCAGCCGTACCTGGAACAGGACAAAAAGCTTGCTGAGCTACCGCTACCCCTCCTTTTATTCCAGAACAGCCTAGGGTCAGGGGAACCCCAAAGTCTGCTTGAAATCCAGACAGCATCTCCCCAGAATCTCATTAAGGGATGAGATTTTGTAAACTTGCGATGCTTCAGGACCGTGAGTAGGATTTGCATCCAAATTTCACCTTCATCACCAGCTTCTACTCTCTTTAAGAGACCTTCAAGAAATTTTTTTGAAAGAAATCTGTAAGCAACCTCATTCTTTACTGGAACTAATCCTTTCTTTGGCGCTCACTGCAATATCATAAGCAGGGAGATCCCTATCCAGTGGGAAGTGCATAGTGTCAAACACCCGCCTACCCCGGTTACACATAGACCATGTTTTCAAAAAAGGAAGAGAAGATAATAAATAAAATAAATAAAAAGATGCCAAAAGCCATCGGAAAGAACACGGTGGTAACCGAGATGAGAGGAACATTAGA